TTGTTATGGAACGCCTAGAGCGTATTAAATAAATAAATAATCAAGTTAAAAGTAGAGGGTAGAAATGAAGCATGGATTCAACTTCTGTAAAAGGCTTCCTACCCAGGTCCAGAGATCTCGATCCTCTCACTCGTGTTTGTTCAAAAGTAATCCAAATTTGCACTACCTTCTCTACTGAGCATACAAAAAATTTACGAGCACGCAGAAGAATATACCTCCTCCACTCCTCATGGAAAATAAGGATTTTTGATAGTCACAGAACACAGTCAAAGAGAGTGATCATGCACAATTCTCCCCACTTTCTCTTTTTCTCCGCGATATACGTGCCTCTAGGCTCGCTAACACGGCAGCAAGTCTGGACTTTATACACTTGTTAGAGCATTTCTTATTATTTTCAGTTTTACTGCATGGCAAATCGACATATAACCACAACACACGCACAACTTTACTGTTTGTATCAATAAATAATGAATTATTAAAAGCCAAATCCTCCAGTAATGACGGAAGACAGTACAGCTGTACAGCCTTGGAATGAATGAGACTCATGCAATCTTATTATGATCTTCTAAATCATCTGTGGTCCATTCGGATCCATACCGGTGACAGTTCTCTCACGTTCGTCCTCTTCTTGCGCCTGTCTGACCATTTCCATTATGGAAACATGCAAAATCTCCAAACGCTTCCTGCTAGTAATCGACTTCAGCTTTTTGTAAAGCAACTTGGCTGAAAGAGACGGGGAAATTGATATAGAAGAGCAAAAGCAACAGGGCTTACCGAAAAGTTCATTCTCATCGCTCTCCTCGTCATTGAACTTAATTCGCTTGGCCTCTTTGCTAGGGATGGGAGGGGCCATCATAAACGGTGGCGGGGGTACAGCTGGTACGCCCGGAGGAGGCAACTGTAAAGACGTTTTTTTTACCAATTTTTGAACAGAGGAAAAGGTAACTGACCACTCCTGGAGGGGGAGGCATGAATGCTGGGCCTATCGGTGGCATCGGAGGAGGCATGTGTTCCTGTGCAGCTCTCTTCTGAGGGAAAAACTTCTCTGAAAGCGAGAGATTCCCTGGCTGTAATGTAAATTTCTGTTTCATCAAAAGCTTTACTGATGACAAGGCGTACAAGTGAATGAATAGAAGAAAACAAAGATGACACCCATCAAAATTTGCTTTACAAAGAGGGAGATCCCAAAAATACATCAAGACATTAGATAAAGAGAAACTCGCAAAGGATATTTGTGACACTGGGTGAAAATTCTTCCCAGAGGAA